TGCAATTTTCTCTTTGTTGTTAATTGGCCTCTGCGTATGTGAACTTGCATTTTCTCATCCCTATCAAGCACAAGTGCTGTATTTTAGTAAAATGCAGAGATTGTTTCTTGCAACATGTCCTGGAATTCCTGAGCTCCCAGTTCTGGGCCAAGGTTGAAAGCAGTGATTGATGGTGTAGGTTGATTGCAACATCCAAAGGGTCATGGAGCAAAAAGATGATGAGTTCGGCTCATCTGCCTCTGTTCCTGTGGGAGGGATACCTGTAGGTGCAGTAATTTTTCCGATCTGTTAGGAGCCATTTGCATGAGACTTCAGAGAGATGAGAGCTAACTGATTTATAGCGTGTGTGAACCAGCAACTTGGGGAAGTGTGGGAGACCCTGAATGCATCTTCACTTCCCTAAGGCAGTAATGTGAGCAGACTTCCAGAGCTGGCACTGACTGAGGATTTTCTGTAGCTTTCCACTGCTCCCATGGCTGTGCCGTGCCCAGAGCACTGCATCCCTGTCCCCAAGCACGTGGCCGGGCAGCAGTTGTGTGCTAGTTTATCAGGGAATTTGTCGTATTTGTACTTCATAAGCAGTCAGAAGGAGGAATTTGAACGTCATTGGATCCAGCAGCAGCAACCTCTGCTTTTCTTTCCCTCTTCTCTCCCGTGATGTGGCTGTGGCTCTCACGCTCCTCCCAGTGTGACTGCATTTTGTGCTTGGAGGTCTGCTTGGAAGCTGGCGAGAGCCAACATCACGAGGGGGATGGAAGCGATGTGTCTGTCAGGTGCAGGCAGATTGTGCCATCTAATCCCTGGCTGTTGTCTGCAGCATTTGTCAAGGCCTCCGCTGGCCTGCTCCGTTTCATCAGAGGTATCACTAGCATTCATCTAGGCTGGCAGCATTTCAACAGCTGTTAATCCTCTTTGGATCTTTAAGCACTGTGACCGCTGACAAGCTCCCGTGCTTTCAGGTGTCAAAATATCTGAAGATAGCTCTGGGGACTTTTTTATTTTTTTTAATCCCAACACCTTCTGATCTATTGACCCAATCTGAACTGATGGAGGAATCTGTATCCAAGGCTCACTTCTTGCTGCTGCTTGATGTTTGCCAAAAATTGTGCCTACAATCAAATCCATTTCTAGTTCCTCATGCTCACGATACTTAGTTTTCTGTCTTACATGTTACCGCATGTTTTACTGAAGTTTAAGGAATGTGGTTTAATGTCAGTGTGAGAATGAGCTGGCAGGGTTTTCTCTTTGTGCTTCAGTAACTTTCCCTCCTGCAATAGCCCTGAGAACTCCTTTTGCTATGTCGTCTTCTTGATTCCTTTGCTTTATGTTGCGGAAAGGACCTGGGCAGTGTAATGAGGTGTAATGGTGGAGGAACGCTGAGAAAATACAGCTTCAAGTTTTAAATCCAGTTTCCTTTAAAAAGGGAATTTTTAGTCCAAAGGCTTCCAGGGAAGAGCAGGGGGCAAGGAGATAGCAGCTAAGCTGTTGCAGCAAAGCAGCAGGGTAAAGGAAAGTGGTTCTGTTGGTCTTTAGGCTCTAGTTATGTATTTTTATAACTTCTCAGTGTTTTTATTATTTGCTACGAACCATCATTTAATAGCAGGAGAAAATCTTTCAAACTAACATTTCTTTGTTTTGGTTGTTCGTCCTCTCTGGAGAGCTCTCTCCCCATATGACATCTCTCATGTTCTGAGGTTGGCTCCCCTAAGGCTCAGCTTTATTGAGAGAAGTGAAACGTTTTAGGTGGTTCATTCATTCTTTCTTTGTCTCTTGTTATTTTAGCCCTCACAGTGTCTTTTGGTCATGTTTTTAAGCTTATTTCTGCAACTAAGACTGCCAGAAGCTTTATTTAATAATAGTCAAGGTCTCATGTTCAATTTTTTCTTTGTGGGCTGCCATTTTATCTCAAGCATCGAATATTGTGAGAGTAAATTAAAAGCTGCATGGGTGTCCTCTAATTTTGTGTTGAACATTCTGCTGTAAGACTGAATGTTGTGTTAGGAAGTTGAAGGTCTTTGCTAAGATCATGGGCATCTCTGCCTTCCTTTTAAGTGCAAATGCTGCACCTTGATCTGGCTGAGGAGCCCTGGTGGGTGGGTGAGTGCTGGAAGTTTTTAGGTGGCTCCTAGCCTGCTTCCTCATTCGCAACCTTAATGAGTGGTGCAGTTTGTTAGGCATTGGAACTTTGTGCGCTGCCAGATCGCAATGGGGCAAAACACTGCGAGGAAGGAGACCTTGCATCTGGAGTTGTATAGATTGAGGATACTGGGAATTTTGTCCCCACATAACGGAACCTGCCATGACTATGCCTGTGCTGAAAGGCTCTTCCTTGCTACTGAAGAAAACGCCATTTTCCCAAGGAAGGAAGAGGCCTGGAGGCCATGGAAAACCTGTATAACAAGCCCTCTTGTTGAACAAACTTGGGTTTAAATGGTAAAACTGTTTTTCTTACTTGAGGAAGCATTTGAAGATAATGATTCATGGCATCAGAAATACTGCTTCGTTGAGTTTTAGGCTTTTTGAAAGGGAAGGAGGAGGAGGAAGAGTTCTGATCCAGTGCAAGAGGGTCAGTGAAATCCCATGCAGTTGAATCCTTTTAATTTGTAAAACAGAGCAGCTTTTAGCTTTAGGTTGAATGTCTGTGCCCCTCTTTGATCTTTGTGTTGGGCCATGTTCCTTGTGGTTTCTTTGAGGCCAGTCTTCCTCTTGCTGAGAATCTTGCTTCCCCGCTCAGGTTCTCACTTGCCTGCTTCTCATCAGCTTCAAACTCTGGAGCTGTTTCATACTGGTTTCTTTCCCAGCTATTTTTGTCCATATATGCAGCTGATTTAGTTGAAGCTGGGTCTGGCTGTAGTAGTGGGCAGATGAACTCTCCATAATAAACTGGGCAAGGTTGTGCTGCATCCACTTTAATTGACAGTGCAATCAGCAAATGAATCTGTTGGCCACTTTCTTCTTTCTTTAGGTGGGTTAAATGCCAACCTCGTGCTGGGTCTCACGTACAACGTATTTGTTCCTGTTTTCCTCTCCTGCTGCTGTTTTACTGCACAGTGCTGCAAGTTAATAGTATCTGATGGGGCTACTTCCTATGGCCTGAAAAATGTTTAATTTTACTACCTTGCTTTCTCACTTTCCCACTTTCTCTCATTTTGATCTCTCAAATCCAGTTCCTTTGAGAAATCAGACAGTATGAAATATGAAAATCGCTTGGTTAGTAATTGGGGGAAACAGTGAGGCTTATGAAACCCATGGAGATAATGCTTACATCTACTTATATTATTTAATTTTTAATGGCAAATTTAATTAATGGAGCACAGGTCTTGTGGTTTCATGTGTGAATAAGTAACAGCAGGGAGCTGAAAGTCGTGAGGTCTGTTTACAGGACAGGGAAAAGGCTCCATTAAAAGCTGAACTTTTTCATTATAGGAAGGAATAAAATGGGTTTAATAGCATAGAAGTTTGACCGGTGTGTAGCAAGTAAGTAAATGAAAACATTAATGGCAATTTTGATAGCAAAATGCATTTTGAAGTGGTTACTCATCCATGATTTTTCACTTTAAGTCTGTCTCCTAGGTCAAAGTTTGGAGAAGGAAAGTCTATTCTGTGGCATTTTTTTCATTATGTGACATAAATTCAGAGATAAATGCTTAAATATAGCACCTTGAAGTCTAGGCTTTGAAAACCTTTACAAACCTTCCAATTAGTCAAGCTTCACACAATTTCAGTGATGCAGGTAGCTGTTATCCCTGGCTTGCAGATGGAAAATGGTGACTTGCCCATGACTGCTCCAATGGCAGAGCTGCTAATAGAACTTGAGTCATATCTGCCCCTTCTCTAACCACTGAGAAATACGTGCAGTCTGACCGTGTGCAGGACCACAGCTGCTTTTATGGGAAAATAAAGAAGCAGGAGTAGTGTTCTATTTAGGATGACCAGATTTGAAGAGAGAAGATAGCTACACCTGGCCCAACTGAACAGCTGTCTTTGCTTTTGCTTTTGTCACTTCTTTGAGTATCACATACTTTCTGCATATGCCTTTTCAGACTAAAGGCCTTGCAGATGAGCTTTGAGAGAGGGAACTGCAGCATGAAGTCCAGAGGCTTTGCCTGCAGCAGCGCCATCAGCAGTTCAGTGACACGAGCGCACGCAGCAAAGCTGCTGGGATGCACAGCGGTTCCCTCCTGCTGCTTTGCTTGGGAGGCCTCAGTGCAGCACATCCTCTGTGCTCGGTGGCTGAGCAGCTCTGAGCTAAGACTTTCTGTGCAAGCTCAGGAGAATTCAGTGCAAACCTCTTAAGCCCTGCAGCAAGGCACTACAGACTCTGTTTGGCAAAGCCTTAGCTGATACCTGATATGCCTCCCTATGTTGTTAAAAGGGAAACAGGCTGCATAATTTTCTTTTAAAGAATAAGTAACATGAGCAGAAGCACTGAAATGTAAAATGGATTTTCCTGTGCTAGCAGCCAATTTTGATACTCTGCACGTCAGTAACTTACAAGATTCTTCACAGCAATTAATGTAAAAGAACAAAGCACAGCCTAACTCGAAATAACTCAGGGTAGGAAACATCGTGTTTTTGTGGGTATGTGGAATAATCAAAGCCCTCTCTTTTCCTTCACAAAGGTGAAGTGTGTAAGAAAGACACGAATTGTAGAATGGTTTGAGTTGGAGGGCTCCTTAACAATCATCCAGTTCCAATCCCCTACCATGGGCAGGGTTGCCACCCTTTAGATCAAACTGCCCAGAGCCCCATCTGACCTGCTTGGGATGCCTTTGGAGATGGGACACCCATAACCTCTCTGGACACATTGCAGCCTTGATGAGTTTTCTTGCAAATAAACTTCTAAGCATTTTTCTTTTGTGTTCTTTGAACTGAGCATGCTTTTTGTTGTTGGAAATGGTTATTAATTATAGAATTAGATACATTATATATGTCCCTGATGGGATAAGTTCTGAGATGCCTTTCATTTTTAGAGCTGAGCATTATGTTCTTTGTTGCAGAATGCAGAAATCTACAAGCTGACGTCGGAGCAGTACCAGGAGGCAGCCACCAAGGCAGAGGAATGGATAAAGTGAGAAACCATTTTTGTTCTCTTCTGCAGCTCCAGTTTTGTTCTGTGATGCTGTGTGTGTAGCCACTGGACAATCTGGTAAACAGGGTGTGAAGTTACCTCTTGTTACATATCTGGGAGGCTGAAGGGCTGCATACCAGCTTCCTTTCCTTCTCTGCTGAGCTTGACAGAAATTAGTATAAAGTTTTCAGGTCTTGCAAGAAAGAAGATGTGGACTAGAAAATCCAAATAAATTGAGGATATTGACCAGGGTTTTTAAAATAATAGCAATGGAACATGTTTGATCTGCTCCAACTTTGACCCAGTGTACTTAGCCTATACATTCCACCATTGGGCTAATGTGTGCGAGAATGAAAAATAGCCCTTGAGAAGTTTTTCCTTGTCCAAAGAAGAAAAAGATAAGTAGTTGAAACTGTAGCCACGTAAATTTCCATCAAATAGAGTTGTAGTTAGCATAAATTCTTTCTTAAAATGGGTGCAGTGTACTTCTAACCTCCTTAACTGGCCGTGGTAGAATTACTTTTGAAATTGTTTTTAACCTTTTGTATTGTTTTTTTTGCTGTGAGCCTATTTAGTATCTAAATTCCATTTGTATTTGCCAGTAGTGTTATATGGCTTATTGTTCCACATTCACTAACAGCTGTCAAAAAATATTTTCTATAATTCCTTATTATTAATGAATCCAAAGCAATTATACTGTCACGAGCAACACTCAGATCTCAGTTGGGTAAACAGTTGGCCAACATGCAGCAAACTGGAGTAGCAGCATATGTAGTCCAGTTGGGTCCAGTCCAGATTGCATGATACTTAATTGCATAAATAGATTATATATCAGTGATGAATATGTTAGTGGTGTGTACAGTATATTGTGCTGTCTTCATTTAAAATTAAATTTGGCTGCCAAAGCATTGCATAACCTGTTGTAATTTCACATTTTTGTTTGGACAGTGAAGCACAAAGTTGCTAAAGAAGCCAAAACAAGGCAGCTAACACATCGCATTCATTTTCATACAGATTTCCATAGTAGAATTCTTAAGCACTGTTCTAAAATAAAATTTAAAAAAAAATAATAATCCATAAAGTTCTGAGAATCTTTGATCAGTTGAGTTTTCTCTTAAATTTGCTTCTTCAGGTGTGTGATCAGATGTTGGGAATGGATGTAACAATGTTCTGATCTTATAACTTTGTAAAGGAAGAGATGTGACCTTGGGTTATGTTCTTTACTTCCTATTACAGACTTTAACCTATTTTTATAGTATTCTTAAGCTGGATTCCTGAGGTTTAATTTGGTCTCTTCTGATTCTTGTGGAGATGAGAACTGGTGACATAGGAGATGCTCTCGTAATGGAAGCATTTCTCATAAGGGTTGCTGGCTGTAGCCAGTGTAAGTACAAGTTGATTTTTTTTCATTCAGAATTCAAACAAATTTTTTTGGTTATGGTCTCGTGGTAGGGAAGGGGTGAAGGGTTCCTCCCACTTTGAGTCCTTAACATCTGCCAATCCCTGGCTTCTGGCCTTACCATACAATGCTTTTCTGTTTGAACGGCGTATGAACTTCCCCTGTCATAAGGGACAGATTCCTGGCAGCCAAGAGGGACGCCTGCCCTACTAGAATTTCATTGTGAGAAGACAACAAGACTGAGGAGTGCCTTGAGTTGAGGAGAGAGAAGCTGTGTGGCACTAATGAAACTGGGGGAGCAAGTGAACATTGTACTTCTATCCCTTTACAGTTCAAGTTGTGAGCTATAACCAGTATTGCTCTGAGCTACGTGTTGGAGCCTTGGACAGTGCGTAGCTAGAACAGTCTAGGACTGATCATATGATAATTGAACATGAAGGAAGAATCACTGCTTTAGCCTATCAGTTTGCACTGTGAGTCTGATTCTTACAGCAGTGTGCAGCCATCTTTTTTTGGGACTGTTCCCTCAGTGTGCAACATGGAGAAAACACAGTGAGCGCACAGGCATCAGGTGAGGTCACCGTATAGCTGGGATGGAGCTGGGGGACCTTCTTTCATATGTTGGCATTTGTGCTTGTTTGGTTGGACTTGAAATTTACTTGTTAAGAGATCCTCTTCTTAGGCCTTGCACATTCAGATCTTTCTGCAGCTTGTTTATAGTCATAAATTACAAGGTCCTGTGAATTCAGTGGAAATAATTTGTTCATCTTGCTTTGCAGTTTCACATTAGACATACAGGCACAGTAAGTGCTAAGCTAGGTAAGGCTGATTTATGTAGATCTAGTAACTTGGATGACACAAGTAAACTCCAGGAAAATTACATGAACTGAAATGTAGCCAAATTATTGAATGAAGCACAGGTCTGTGTGTTTGCAGTGTAGGGTTTCAACAGCTCCTATATTAAAAGCAGATCAGGAATGGCATTTTTTCCGTTTAATGAGGAAAATGCATTTCCTCCGTCCCATAGTGTCTCATCCCTGCCTTATCCCATCCTTGTCTCACTGTGAACCTGTCCTCTGGCGCCTGCCCGTTGTCAGACCAGTCTGCACAGCATTTGTTGCTGTCTGCTGCTGTGTATAGGTGGAGCTGATGGATGAAGGGAGGGCTAGAATTGGGTCTGTTTCCATAGTGAGTGCACTGTTTTTTCAGAGTCTGCATTGAAGCAAAGATAAGAAATACCTGAAACAAACAAACAAAAAAAAGCATTTTCTTGGCACTTATCGACTTTTGTAAAATCTTTAATCAACATCTATGGCTTTGCACAAATAGTCCGTGGAACACTTGACCATTTTCTCTCCTTAATGATTATCAAGCATTTCAGTATTCAAGAATACTGCACAAGCTGTAGATACCAGTGATGCTTTGCAGCATGCCTGCAAGACAAGCAGGTAAACCATCTCCATTTGTACAGGAACAGAAGCTAAGTGCTTGAGTGCAGAGCTTCATATTAAGTCACTGGCACAGTCATTAGCTCCTGGGTCCTACTTCAGGGCAGGATACCTGTGTGGCCTGGCTACTGCAACACGCTTTGTTTCTCATCTCCTCACCTGAGCCCAACCTGCTCCTGCATTCCTCCCACCTTGGTGTCTCGTTCTTTGTTCTGGGCTCTGTCCGAGCTCTTTCTCCCAGAAAGAAGATCCTAGCAACAAGAAACCAGTAAGCACAGCTTTCAGCACCTTGAGCAACTTGCCCTTGTTGCTTACATGCTGTGGTGAATTGGACTCTTGCCATGGACATATTGTCTTTATGATGTTATTATAATTGATGCATTATTATTTTTCTCTTTTGTTAACCAGTAGAATAACTCTGGGGACCTGGAACTTTTTTCCTTCCCTGTTTAGCAAACTGCACATCAGTAACCACCCACAAAAGAAGCAGCGTGTAAATAAAAAGCCAGCGCTCCTCGCCCTTCGCTTCGTTCCACATCCTTTTCTCAGTGCTCATAGAGCCATGACTCAGACTGGGTTTAGAGAAGACAACTTGCTAATCCCCTCCCTGCTACAGAGAATAAAATGGCATTTCATTCCAAGCTCTATTAATGCGCTCGCTCCAGGGATAAAGCAGCACTCCCAAAAGGCAGTGGCCAAATTTTTTTTTCAGTTGCGTTGTCTTTGTCTTCTTTTGAGTGTTACGTTTAGATTAGCTTCTGAGGATTAAATGTTATTACAGTCTGTGAATCTGTTAAGGGGAAGGAAAAAAAGCGTCAGTAAAGAGGTTATAGCTTAGTGCAGGCACTTTGGGTTTATCCTCAGAATGCTGGGGTAGTTTTTTTTTTTTTATAATAAATTTGATTTCTTTTGTGAAGGTTGCCTTATTTTTATTTTTGTGGTTGTTAAATTTGGTTGTGGGAGTTACTGTGGGTGGGGGATGCGGTTTGCTCTGAAAGGTAAAGCTACGGGAACGGGGTGAGGGGATTAGGAAGCTGTTAAGAGATAAAACTGTTCAGAAGCGAGTTTTCTTCTGAGATCTCCCTATAGCTTGCTGAACCCTCCCTGAAGCTGCTTACCGACAGCTGTGCTGCGAGTTGTGCCCACAGAACTGCGTGTGCTCTGTGCTGTTATCCAGGAGTGTGTAAAGAACATCACTGTCTTACCCTGATAGAGATCAGCCCAGAATCCAGGGCAGCTTTCCAGGGGGGAAACTGCCAAAGAGATTTACGCCGCGTGGGACTTGGTATTTAAGAGGTCTGTTTAATGGTCCCGAGATCTTTAAACTTAATGGACATCAGTATTTAAGATGATTGCGTTAGAGAAACTGACAAGTACTAAGTATCCTCCTGGGTTGAATGTGGTGTTGAGAACTAAACTGCCTCCGTGGGGTGGGGGAAGAAAGTTCACAGATGGACTGCCTGCTGCAGTGGGGGATTTGTGGCTCACTTTCCGGACTCACAGAAATGAACGTTTTTATTGAATTGTGCAAAATGTCATGAGATTGATGGTCCCGCAATTAAAATGACAGCCATAACTGGTACCTAGGAAAACTGCCTGTTCTTTTTTTATTTTTTCCTTCCTTTGTGAAGATCTGGAAAGTTTCTAAGATACTGATGTGATGAAGCAGGGCTTTGTGGTAGATATCAAAATTAATAAACACCTATCTATTTCAACAGAGGGCTGTGCCCACGAGTTGAGCTCTGAAATAGTTATTCTGTGGACAGTCGGGAAGCCTAAGGAGAAGGGTAAAGACATCAGTTTTCAAACAAAATTGCTTTGAGATTTCTCCTATCATTAGATTAGATAGATGATTAATTTAGCCTTGAAATTAAGAGCCCTTGCAATAGGGATTTAAGAGTTTTCAGGGATAAAAAGCTGTGATTAGTGCTTAGAGCTTGTCCTCAGCCTTAGCTCAGCGCAGTGCTTCTGCATGCTGACTGCAGTGATTACATCTTCCCCAAAAATGTTTGCCCCATCCTGGTCCTGTTCTTCCCTCAGTGCTCGGTTTGTGTTGGTGGTTGTTCTGTCTGTGGCTAGTCTGCTCCAGGTAAGCATTAATGAAGGAGATGGGTTATTAGCCAAGGCTTTGCTGTTTCTCACATTGATTAAGT